TGCCAGTAATGCATACATGAGACAAACAAATAAATTTAACTTAAGCTATTCATGGTCCCTTGGTAAAAGGTTGTGTCAAGGGCAGAGATAAGAGCTAAGTCAGATTTGTGGGACAGCATAACACACCCTCATCTGCAGTCCATGCAGACACACAGAAGGGAAATGATCCTTCTTTTTAAAGGAAAAATATTAACTAACGGTAGTTATCAGTTGTGTCGTTAAGAAGGTAGAACTAACAGCCCTGTCACCTCTTGGTGCTGGAATTCATTTACTAGCAATTTAATTGATGTAAAAATAACGATGGCAGTGCAGTCATTTAAAGGTTCTGTTGAGGGATCTTTACCTGAATGAATGTAAACCCACTCTTTTCTCCTGCTGATCTTTACACGGTGGGCTTGGTTAATAGCTGTATGTTCTTTTTTACTGAAAGATGTTCAGCATGCAAGACTGGGGGAGTGATTTGACCACTATTGTCTTCATGATACAGTTTGGGGCCATAGCTGTGTTTGGAAGCTGTTTTCAAATATAGGCACGGGTTTCCATTTTTAGTACCAGGCACAGTATGAGCTGAGCAAACCATCAATGTCAGCATGCACAAGTATAATTGGGAATCTCCAACAGTGACTAATGCACCAGAACTGCTTGGATTTATGGAAGAACTGTCTAAACAATCTACGTATGCTCCTGATAGGCTCTTTTCTGATTTTCCAAAAGCTGTGTCCCCTATGGTCTCTGCTGCTTCTGCTGCCCGCTAGAGTGAAGGAAAAACACTGAGTTTCAACACTGGCAGGTTGGAGACAAACCTAGACATTTTCACCTAATTCATAAGCAATTAAAAATGTGCATAACATTTCTGAGTGGACCTTCGTATGTTTTCAGATGTGCTCCCAGCGCTTTCTGTAAATGGTTTTCATAAAAATGAAACATTGATTACATTTTACCCTGAGTGCAGGAATATTTAGACTGGAACATACCAATAATTAAATTATTAAAATCTGTTTAGTCAGATTTGTTTAAAATGATCCTTTGCTAGCTACCTGGGGTGAAATCTTGGCCCGATTGAAGTTAATGGGAGTTTTCTGAACACCCCTCCCCCCTGCCCCTGGTGTATTTATAATTCTTATCTCCTGTGATGTCATTTATTCTACTACTGATATACTCATGCATACACAAATGTTTCATGCAAGAACACACCTTTCACAGATCCATCACTGATGAAAATTAAGCTTGTATTCTTGACCAATTTTTTTTTTTTTTTTTGCATATCATCATCAGACTGGGATCAATAGTAATAATACCCAGGACTTTTCATCTTCAAACATTAAACTCTCCCAACACTCCTGTGAGAGACAGAAAGAGAAGATTGTCTTCCTATTAGAGAAGGGGAAATAAAGGCAGACTTGGGATGACAGAAGTCAGTATCAGAACCAGGAGTGAAACTCAGAACTTCTTAGCTAAGTTCTCTAGGTTTTGTGTCTCCTGCCCTGGATTCCTTATTCTGATTTTAACAAGTCTGCTATTTATGTTATAGGAGACAGAGGGTGTTTTGCAGAAGTGGAATAACGGAACAAAATCAAACACATTTATTTATTTATGGTCAGTATTGGCAAAATTGTCCTGTTGCAAAACTCCAATGAAGTGAAAATCAATACTGTTCTAGTTCACTGACTTTCAAATTGTCTGATGCCATGAACCCCTTCTCTAATTGTTGAAAACATCATGGACCCCCCGTGCATTTACACTTGTATCAGGGGAAGTCCAGGCACCATGTGATATTTCCAAAAGCCCTTTTTGGACACAGTTTGACAATGCCTGTTCTAGCTGGCACTATTTTAGGGCTTATCTACATGGGGGAATTTGCTGGCAGAACTCTACTGCTATAATTATATCGCTATAGTTATAGTGGTATAACTACAGTGGTATCATTCTAACAGTATATTTTTGTTGGTGTCCCAGCGTATAAAGCTCTTATTGTTCAACAAAAGCACTACTTCATGTTTTACTTCAGACAGTTACAGAAAACTACCTAATCTCCTCCCTGTTTACATATTTTTTATTTGTCTCCGATCTTTATCTGCACTACAGGGTTAACTCAGGTGATTGGTACCTAGGTCTGAACAGCTGGATTAGTCTAGCCCAGGTGTGAGCTGCCACATGGCAAAGCCTTACCTGAATTATTATGTCTTTACTAGTGCTGTGCTCATCTGTGTCACTAAGACTTCAGGGGGCATGTCCCATAGTTATCCTTTAGCAAACTAAGCCACTCTATGATGCTTTTCCAGTGACTCATGGGAGCATTTGTCTGTCCTTGGCACAAGGGGGGAACTGTGGGGAGGCACTGGAAGACTGTCTGCACTTGAGTGGTTTGGCCTGTGTCCTGACTACAAAGTGGGCAGGTTTCAATCCCAAGTGAAAGCCTCATTCAGATTTTAGCCTAGGGCCCCAGGCAAGCCAGCTATCCTGGGTTTAAAGCACCACTGAACATGGATGAGATATTTTTGTGTGTGGATGGGTAAAAGTTAGGGGTAACACTCATGGAAGTGCTTAAGATAACTCTGCAATTACCATTTTTTAACTTATAACAGTTTCCAGGTACAGATAGGAATCCTTTAACTCCTACTTCCATGGGTAATTTACAGCAAATATTGTGGTCAATAGCATGCTGTAAGGCAGTCATGCACTCAGGGTTTTAAAAAATTTAGTGGTTTTGTTTATCAGGCAATCAACATGCCCTGTAGCTTGTGCACAAAAAACAAAAGCTTACCAAAAAGAAATTTCTGAAAAAATAGAATTCTGTGGGCTTCTGTCTTAAAAAACACCAAAGATAGCTCTGACATAATCTTACACTGCTAATATCACTCATTGACATCTGCAGTACTTAAACCCCAACTGCTTACACTCTTGATAATTAAAATAGACATTGCCAAGTGGCTAAGGGGTGAGCTTCTTACTGTAACCGAGTTAAAGATTTTATTACTCCTCTGCTCAAGCCTATAGAAGCATGAGTTTGTTTTGGCAAACAGCCAGTATTTTCCATAGAAAAGAAAATTGCCTCAATTTACAGGGAAATTCTTCTTTCCCCTGTATCATACACTTTCAATTTTATTTTGATAGATGCGAAGTACATGTTTTGTATGTCTTCTTCCAGTATAAATGTTTTCATAATTTTGCATTGGTAAGTGTATGTTTGAGGGGATGAGGAAAGGAAAGGCTTCACGGTTCAAAATTTTGGTCTGATCCCTATGTTTTAAATTTGATTTGATTCAGTCAGGTATGTAAACATTACTCCAAGACTCCATTGGGCTTCCACTCATCCCTTCATTCTACATAATCAACTTTCCTCCTTATAGGTCTGTCTTCATCAAAGGGTGACTTGTACAGCTCTAACCCCATTTTTGAGAGCACAAAATAACCAGTGTCATGCTGTATTCCAGAGATGGGCCTGGTCCAAATGCCTCTAATGCTGATCAAAGTGTCAATCTGAACTTTGTGACTTGGGTTCACCTCTACCACAAACCTTCCACTGAGAATGAGAGCTTGTGAGAGCTCATCCCCCCCCTTGAAAATGAAAATATCATATGCATTACCAAATGTGAATGGCTTTTGTGACAATAGTTCTCACTTAGGATGACCAGACAGCAAATGTGACAGCAAATCAGGACAGGGGGTGGGAGGTAGTAGGAGCCTATATAAGAAAAAGACCCAAAAGTTGGGTCTATAAAATCAGGACATCTGGTTACTCAATTCTCACTTCACACTACCTTGGTTTTTGTTCAAATAATTAAAGAGAATTATTTTATGAATTGTATTTTTTTGAAGCAGGGCACATACAAAACTCCCATATGTTTTTGTTTGTAACATATATCACCAGGATAGTGTGCAGAAAAACGAGGTCCCCGGTGTATCAATAAATAACTTGGAGGCGCTTAAGAAAGTAGTTTTGAGACTCTGCCATCAAATTAAAATTTAATTACATTAATAATCTGTTTACTTTCCTAGCTCCGTTGAAGTCCTTAGGTAATTTGCCCACTGTATTATTTCAGATGTGTTGAAAGCATTTTTTGTTATAAAAGGTTCTTTTGCTTTTTAGAAAAATACAGAGTGAAATAAAATTTAAAAAAGGCCTCCACAGAAGCAGATCTCAGGAAATTCTTAGAGACATGCTTTCAAGTCTATATTCTTCCTACTGTACAAAGGAATTTTAAATGTGATACATAGAATATGGTGGTGGCTTTGCAAGACTTGGAAAAGATTGGAGCAGGTCTTGTAGGTACTAACTGATTCCCAGTACTATTTTAAAATGCAAAGCTTCGCTCAGGGATCTTTGCCATGTGTTGTTCACAAAGAATGTATAAGGTACCTATTGTGCATCAAGTAGAAGTACATGCAAGTCATTCTGTGCAATTTATGAGATACATTAACTACTGCATTTGTTTGCTCAATATTCTTGTTACAGTCAATCTAGCAAGCTGTAATTGTTTTTTGGAATACAAAAGATTACTCTATATAATGCAGTACAGTAGCTTCATTGAATTATTGAAGTTATAGTTAGAAAAGACCTATCAGGTCATCTAGTCATTGCTTTTTATGCATCATTGTAAATATGTTCAGATTTATAGTCACCTACTGTACATGAAAGAGCATTTTTCCTAGGAAAAATGTATGATTTCTTTACCATTTTAGACTATGTATGTCGTCTTCCCCATGTTACTACTACCTGATTTTTCTTTTCCTTCAATCTCACCCACTGTACTGATTGATAAATCATTAGACATACTTTATGAAAAACAAGTCTTGTTTTGTTACATATATTCCCATTTCATGTAGGTATATGAACTTTTGAATTAAAACATGAAAACACAGTGCTATGTATCTAAAATTGGGGCTTAATTTATAGACAAAGTTGGTTTACTTAATACACCTGAAAGGTTGGACAATTATTTCTCACCTTTTGAAATTCTTCTCAACTCTTGAAAATCTCATTTTTCTTTTTTATCTAGGTAACATCTTGGTACAGGAAAAATATGAGTGATTATCTACATAAGCAAAATCTAGGCTCATCTTTAACAGAAAATGAAGAGCTACTTCATGAGCACATGGAAATGGAATTCAAGGCTAAGGTAAGAAATATGAAAATATTAAAGGAAAAAACTAACATACATTTTATATAGTTAAACAATTTGGGAAAGTTTTGATAATGGTAAAAATAGGTGGCCAGTCACTATTACAGTAATGCTTTGTCACTGAAATCTGCAGATCATGTGGCAACAAAGTGGGTATAACATAGGTTTCAACAGGAATTTTTAGCAATATGTCTGAAATAACATGATGGGACAATTTTATTCCTCTGCTGCATAAATGATGAGGGTGGGGTTAAAGATTATGTTGATATGAAAAATAAATGTATTTACAAACCAGAGAGCATAAATATTAGAACTCTCTTGCAGTTACTTAATTTTGATGTAAATGTAATAGTGCTCTGAAGTGCTGGTACATATAGTGAAAATTGCTCGGTGTGCCATTTTGGACTGGTTGTGTTCAGAGAACTTGGCTCACAGAGCAGGCCTATTTTGTGCTAAAGACCTTTGTTCATATAAAAATGTAAGTTTTTGAAAGGTGACTGAACTTACCAGACTGACGAGGTTTCTGAATGGCTGGAGTTATATCTTCTTTAAGCTTTAGACCATCAATTTGTTTCTATAATTTATAGTTATCTGCTTCAGTGCTACCAGGTAAGCAGGGAAAAATGCACTTCTAATGCCATCCCAAGTATCTCATACATCCTATTTGAAGTCACTGTATTTTTGTCTAGAAAACATTGGTTCTTAACGGCATATCACCACGTTCTGCTGCAGGCTGCACACTGCTGTGAATACTAGCAGTGATGGGGTTAAACAATAATGTTTGAGTCACAAGGCATTTCCAGAGGAATATTATGACCTGCTGGGAGAAATTGATGGTCTGGAGTGCCATCAAGGATCACTGAATCGAGCTAGTCGTTAATCCCGAGGAAATTCACTGCCCTGAAGTTGTTATTGCAGTTTACTATATCAGTTGAAGAAATACCATAACCCATGTTTTAAAAAATAATAAAATATGCATTTTCAGTCTGAACAGCAGTGGACCCTGAGGCCTCAAGGAACTATCACAATAAAATAATTTTATTTATTTATTGCTTATCTAAATAACTCTTCCCCTATATATTAGCTAATCAGGTTGTTTGAATCATCCCACAGTATCTCATTCTTCGTCTAATGTTGATTAGCATTGGAAGCTTTCCGTACAGAGTCATAACTTAGTGCAGCTTACTTTTATCCTTCTGTTGTTATTGTTGGCAGCATGTTCTAGCTCAGGGAAATCAAGTGGACTGAGTAGATCTTGCGGAATATATGCCATGCTTCTGATGTGAAATGTGGACACACAAGCTAGCTTAAGCTGCACACAGCAAATGTATTGCAGAAAGATGAGCTACAGGTCTGTGTATCTGTTACCTTTTCATTGTACTAATGATATTACAAGCAGTGGGAAAGAGAAATTTGACACTTTGCCTCATTTTATTTCCAGCTTGAATATTCAAATGAGTGTTTCTGTAAAATTTGTTAGAATGGTAGAAGCTTATAGTAAGCTTATACTAGACATACTGATGTTTTGCCTCAATGGCAGAAGCACACTGAAACATAAGGTGATACCAAGTTCAGAGGTGCTCCCAGTTCAGGCTAAGTAATATCAGCATAGTTTCTTCTACAGCACCTCCCTGTTCGTGACTCCACAGTGGAACATGTCCTTGTATCTGTAAGTCCCTAGTCTTTTGTGAAACCTTCCATCTGATATAAGGTTATCATCTCTTATCTCCAAACTGTGATGTCCCTTTAATGATGTAGCAGGCTCATTTCTGTATTTCAGGATCCACTAGTCACACCATAACTCAGTTCGATGAAGGCCAGCTCTGATGGACTTCTCAAAAACAATTTACACACCCACACAGGCTGTCATCTGAAATGTGCTCCTGCCCTCCCCTTTCATCTCTCTTTCCCACATATATATGAATATGTATAGGATGACCATGCATCCCGTTCTGGCCGGGACAGTCCCTTTTTATAGCCCTGTCCCAGCCATCCCAATATTTTTGGCAAAAGAGGGCATTTGTCCCATTTGCTCTTGCCAACTGATCAAGTTGGCAAGAGCAAATGGGACAAATGCCCACTTTTGTCAAAAAAGTGGGGTGTGGTGCAGAGGAACCTGCACGCGGGCAAGTGGAGATGCTAGCCCCATGTAGGGGGGAGGCTGGGCTGAATGAGGGGGCAGGCAGGGTTCCAGCGACCAGCAACAGCCTCGAATGGGGAGCTGGCAGGGTTCAAGTGACCAGTGACAGTTGGGGAGGGGCAGCTCGGGTGAGCAGCTGGGTGGGGCCTCAGGGGGCAGGGCCTCAGGCGAATGGCTGGGGCCAGCCCCACGCAGGGTCCCATTTTCCCTTTTGGAAATATGGTCACCCTAAATATGAGCCTTTTTACCACTTTTTAAATGCTTATTTAAATGTCCCCAAAGAGCTATGGCCTCAACCTTCAATTGCAGGCTTTTGAATCTGCAATATTTTGCAGCTCTTAGGACAGCCTCCAAAATCTGATGCTCTCCCTGGATAAGATCACTAAATTTTAAATTTCTGCACTGTACATGCAATCCTGTTCTGATTGTTTGTAACTGGAGAAAGCTTTCTTCATGCTAAATCACGTTTTGGTTGTCATTACATTGTAGCAGCTTCAGATGTACGTCTGATCATCATTTCTGGTATAATTTACAGCAAATGCTGTGCTAGGTTCGATCATCATTACAGTTCAGTCTCTCCTGCCTGGTTTGCCAGCTGTTACACTTGCAGATTCAAGGTATTGCCTAATCAAGTATCCTTTATTAGTACTTTTACAAATTTAAAATATGTATGTTTATAAAACCTCACTATGAAAGTGTTACAGGAAGCTCAAATCTCTGCAGAAAAACACGTCCTACTTCCCAGAACTGAGCTAGAAGCAAAATTACATATATTCATAGATTTTTAGATCAGAAAGGATCATTCTGATCCTCTAGTCTGCTGACTAAAGAATTTCACCAATAATTCCTGCATCAATCCCTTATCTTGTGGTTGAGTTACAGTTTATTTCTCAAAAAGATACCCAATCTTGATTTTAAAACTTCAAGCAATGGAGAGTCCATCATATCTTTGGTGAGTTGTTATAATGGCTAATTACCATCAGCGTTCCCCTTACATTTTTGTGTCCTATTTATTGTCTGAGTTTGTTCAGCTCCATCTTCCAGCCCATTAGATCTTGTTAATGCCTTTGTCTGCTAGACTGAGGAGCCCTCTACTGTCAGAAACCTCCCAGGGTGTATATTTGATCAAGATCCCTTTTACCCTGATGCTTGATAAGCTAGATAGACTTAGGAAACTCATTCACTTTAAGGCAGCTTTTCCCTATCTCAGATAATACTTGCCTCTCTTTTCGGAACCCTTTCCAATTTTTCAACATCCTTTTTGAAGTGTGAATGCCAGAACTGGACACATTATTCCATTAATGGTCTCACCAGTGCTATAGACATAAATAATATCCATTATGACCCCTAAGTCCAGAGTCACTCCTTCACTGGATGCAGTCCTCCATCTTCTAAATGTGATCTACATTCTTTGTTCCCAGATGTATGAACTTGCAGTTGGCTGTATTGAAATACATGTTATTCAAATGAATCCAGCTTGCATAGGGATCCAGATCAGTCTGCAATTCACCTGTCATCATTTACCATTCCACTAATTTTTGTATCATCTGTGAACTTTATCAAACAATTTTTTTGTATTTCCTTCCAAATCATTGATATAGATCTTGAATAGCATTGAGCCAAGAAATAGTCGTGGAAAAATAGAACACTAGCATTTCACGCTGCTTTCTGTAGAACAAACATTTTTCTCTAAAAGAATTAAGTCTACATTCACATTGAAAGACTATTAACGTATATCAACACTTTCAAGTGCTACAACTATCCAGCCTAATGCACTTTTGAGAGGATGGCAGTATCCCCGAGGAGCACTATTTTGCAGCACAGCCTGCTACAAGATGCTCAAATGGAGATTAGTTTGCTTTTTTGAATGGCAGAATTGAACCCTGTATTGTTGTAAATTCCAGCTGGGAGCACATGCTTAGAAACTGTGTAAAAAATGTGCCTACCCCACATTCAGGTCTTTGCTGAGCACCTTGTATTTTGGAGTTACCTGGGTTGTTTTCAAATTGATAAAATTATTGCTACATGCCATTCTTTTCCTAGTCTCTGACCTGTCTGTTGCTTGAACTGAACATTCATTGTATATCATGACTGCTTTACCAGTGATACGTAATGAAATTGAAAAACACCCATAGAAAGTATTGCTTTAGTAAATCAAGCTCACATTATCTGGGATGATTACTAGATGAACCAAGAAAGCTATAAAATACTATATAAGATGACGGCACTGCTGCATATCATCGTATTTAAACAAAAAGATATCTGAAGCTGAAAAATCTCAAAGCAGAAGTTGTCTAAGGCTTGGTCTACACTAAACCCCCAAATCGAACTAAGGTACGCAACTTCAGCTACGTGAATAACGTAGCTGAAGTCGACGTACCTTAGTTCGAACTTACCGCCGTCCAGACCCGGCAGGCAGGCTCCCCCGTCGACTCCGCGTACTCCTCGCGGCGAGCAGGATTACCGGAGTCGACGGGGAGCACTTCTGAGTTCGATTTATCGCGTCCAGACTAGATGCGATAAATCGAACCCAGAAGTTCGATTGCCTGCCGCCGAACCAGCGCGGTAAGTATAGACAAGCCCTAAGTCTCCAAATAGTAAAACAACTATATTAATTTTTCAAAATTCTTCTATTTTCTTTTAATGAACAGCTTGTTTTGTGTGTCTGATTCTTTACTGTTCTAACCAATTAAAAGCCGGCATCAGTTTTTGCAGCACATAAATTGGAAGCAGTCTCATTAGTAATAGGAAAACAAATAAAATTGAATTTTTCTGGAATCATCATAACTATAGTTAGAATTACTTCCCCCACTGGAACTCTCTTTAGTCTCCAACTTGTGTTCTAATTAAAAAATGA